CATAGAATTCGGAGATACATTTCCGAATGCACATATTTTTCACAAAATTGAATGCAAACGAGTGATTCACCACTATTCTTAATTTCTGATATGCATCTCCGAATACATCATACATATTTTTTTATGAAAAAGGGTGTTTACGGATATGCATATCCGTAAAGTGTCTTGTTGTGTTTTTTTATATTTTATTTAGTATGAGGAGTATTATGATAGGCAACAAATATGTAAATATCTAACATGTCTCTATTGGAAAAACAATTGAAAAAAATGATTAAATTTAAATTTAATTTTTTTTTGAAAATACAACTAAAATTCAAATTAAATCAAATTAAAAGTCTATAATTTTTTTTGAATTTTTTTTCGAAAATATGAAAACAGGGAATAAATCAAATAAAGTAGAAAACACAAGGAATTTTTTTAATGAAATGACACAGTAAAATTTTGATTCAGGGTTGATTTTTCAAAAAATCGAGTTTTTTATGTTAGGTCGCGTAAAGGCAAAAAATGCAGAAATGTAAGAGCCAGAACGCGAGGTTACAATTCCTATGACTCTAATATTGGTTAAAATCGACATAGAGTCCCCAACAACAACGTTAATTTCAATAAAAAATGTGTAGTAAATGAGTTTAGGATTTTCGGAGATGCATCTTCGAATTTAACCCTGAAATTTTTATAGATGCATCTTCTGACTAAATTTTGGCAAAAATAGAATGGTCGTTTGATTCACAATGGACGAGGTGATTCATAGTGCGTTCGGAGATACATCTCTGAAAATTTCTGAAGACAATTTTAAATTTTAAGAGGTTTGAGCCACATCACAAGAGTGGTAAAAGAAACTGCCCTCAAGAATTTGCAGCAATGTCTTTCTTTTTCGTTCTTCATTTCCTCTCAATCAATTAATAGACATGTCAATCGTGTTGCATAAAGAAAAATAGAATTTTTTGTTGTTTAGACATTGATGTGTTTAATGTAAAAGATGTACATTTTACATAGAAAATAATAAATAATGTATACTTTAACAAATATTTAACCTTTGATTTTGAAGATCCATCTCCGAGCGCACTCAAGCACACACAACATATGTCAATTCTGAGTGACGCCCTATGAGTTGAGCTTTTTTAACCAGGAGATTCATATCCGGAATTTATCCATATATGTGCGACCGAACAGAAACATAAAACCAGAAAGTTGTATTTTGACAAAATAAAATTACCATTCATAACATAAAATCAACATTATATAGATGATGTCAACATAAAATGAAACATTACATTTCAATATCTAGGTGGACGCTTCAACATTTTCATAATATCTTCGACCGATCTTGAAATCTTCGCTTCCAATTCAAGCGGAACTCTTGTTTCAAAATGGAAAAATGTATTTCATATAGCCGTTACATCTACATCCATCTTAAGCTCATAGTTGTTAAACTCAATCTTGTCTTCGTTGTTAATTGAGGGTGAACGGTACTTGAGCTTCACACTTTTTAGATTATCTCTATAAGATAGGAGATTATGCACTTTGTATTGTAGATCTACAAAAGAGGTGTGCTCATTGAGCTTAAAATTTCGCCCGGGTGTTGCACTGAAGAAGGAGACATTTCTAACATATCAGATGATGTTTATTTGTGACATTTGAGATATTTTTTATTTTTATGAAATAAAAAATAAGAGCCCCAAAATTTATAGAAGTGGTAGACAAATATGGACCTCCAAATTCTATCATGTATTAATGTTGGTTTCGGAGAAACATTTCCGATACCACCCTATTATCTTATTCTAGAGATACATCTTCAGAACCTCTCTTGAACCAGGCAGAAAATAGAACCTGTGTGTTTTGTTTGGCAAATGGACGATTTTTTTGGTAAATGGACAACTTTTTTGGGAAACATCAAAATGTATTAAAATATTTAAAATCGTATATATTACACTTCATTAATATTAATACGCAATTACATCAACTTAATTGATGACAAAAAACTAAAACAGATCGAAAGATTATCATCGGCTAAATCTATAAGTGTGGGTGGTACCCCGTTTGACTTTTGTACATTTGATTCTCTTTTAGTGTTGCTCAATTTCTCGAACTCTTGCATTCTTTTCACAAAATAGTTCATCCAAGTCTCGAATTTTATTGTTGAATGAGTCATTCACTCCACTAATGCAAGTGATATACAATATTCCGGTTTCAAATAAACTTGAACAAAGTGTCGTGGTTTTGAAAGTCACCCAATACACATAATATGATCATTTGGATTTTGAAGAGGGGCGGTGCCCAAAGGGAAAAAGGTGTATGAAAAATCATATCTTGTAAGATCAATACACACTCTATCATATGCATTTGATATGAGATGACCCATTTCAGGGAAGTGCATCCATTTTTTCTCCGGTGCTGGTCCACTAATGCAAGTAAATAAGAGACACATAAATTGTATCAATTTTTTTCTTTCCATAAAGTTGTGTGTATCATTCTTTGTGGGTCCTCAAGTTATGGATAAGTTGATGGCGGACAAGTATGTGATTATCTTCTTCTTTATTGAGTAAAGCCGAAACAACTCGATAACCGCAATTAGCGCCACCATTAACATTAGCAATCCGCTCGATGTATTTATGTATAAAGATCGACATCTCTTCAATGAATGACATTTTTTTGTCAAGGCGGTGAATGAGGTGATTTGCTAATGTAAGCTCCTTTAAAAATACTTTTTTGAGATTTTAGAGTTGGTAAGTTTGTGAGAACTTTGTCAACATGTTCAAAGTACGAAGGAGATCGCACTGTTGAATTGTCACTCGATGTAGACTTGAGCTTCTTTAGAGCACCTTTTGTTTTTACATGTTGAGAGAGTGGCTTCAAGTCAGTGGTTTCCTGATAAACAATCTTCCTCAATTGTTTCTTGATGTGGCGTTTCATATTGTCATCGACTTTCAAAAATCTCTCTTGTATAACTTCCCATTTGGTTAAGATAGAGATATTCAATTTATTGTCTTTCATGAAACCATCATCGTCAAACCTAAGAATTTTCTTCATTCTTATCGGGCTACCAATTTCACCTTCTTTGCAATAAGACAAATACATGGTAAACCATAGATTTTCACAATTGTGCAACCACGCTTTGCGTTATCGAAGCCTACATTATCATCTCGTTTTACTTCGTGAAAAATATAATTAAAACCTGCTCGAGATATGTTGCCGAGAAACTGAGAATAAAGATTGTTGTCTTTATATATGTGTTCCGAAATTGTGATGCTCCAACGAAATGATGTATGTATCTCATTATGCTGGTTCTGGATCATTTGGTTCACATAGTCTCAATCTCTACACAAATTGCCCTTACTATTTTCCAATCAATTCTTCAATGTAGTATGGGCAGACTCAACTCGGTTTGCTGTTGAATTTTTTATGTGTATAATCTGATCGATCTACACACAAGCAATTTTCTCCTTTACCTGATCCAGAATTGTGCTTTCAGCATATTTCAACAAATCTGGATAATTCTCGCACACCTTCCTGAAATGTATAACAGAATCGACATATAACTCTTTAGTAGAAGAATTTACTATAACATCTTATGCATCTATTATTTTTTCCATTTCCACACCCGCCTTCACCATTTTCCCTATCTTCGGTCTTTATCTATTTCGTCCCTAACGAGGATTTAACTCGACTTCTCACATTCTTTGTCATGTGATACCTACAAAGTAATGCATTAGAAGAAGACAATACCTTTGTAATTGAATTCATCAAGGCGGTATCGCGGTCGGTAACAATCACTTTAGGTATCTCACCGTGGTCCTTCAACAGTGTCTGACACACCTCTAAGGCCCAAGTAAAATTGTCCTCTTTTTCACACTCAAGAAATGCAAAATCAACAGAATATGTCTTCTCAGTTGAGGTAGCACCAACCATCTCCAACAATGGAAGTCTATACTTGTTGGTCTTGTAGGTTGAATCAAGTATGAGCACTGTTAAAAACGTGTTGAGCAACTTTATAAAATCAGGATGAGTCCAAAATATATCTCTAACAGTAACTCCATCCTCGCACATTTGATATCTAGATACGTAATTGTTATCATCCAACGATTTCAAGAGTTGTTGCATCTCTGAAAAATATCTGACATGCAAAATTGACAAAAATTTCAAAATATCATCCCAAACTTCCGTAGATGCATTTCGAATAAATCCACTGCACTGATCAACTATCAATATATTTGTTGAAAAGATCCAAAGATGTATCTCCGAAATAATTTTGTGTTAATTTAAGATGACACTTGTTTGATGTGTCATAAAAGTGATACATGATGCGTCTGAAGATATATCTCCAAAATCTAAAGAACATTTTCAATTTTTTATAAGGTGTTTTTCTACCGCATAGAGTGGGATAAGAATTCTCTTAAAAAAAACCGAACTAAGAAAATGATTTTGAAGGTTTTAAAATGTGTTTGATGATGATAGGTTCCTATTAATGAGTTGGCTATGGTTGATTCGAGTGGCTAATTGATCAAAATGTGGTTCTGATTACACTTTTATTGGCTAGTGTGGTTCGATGATCGATAGATTGGTCCATGCATCAGAGCATCCTTTGAATTTTGATTCAGTGTAAAGCCGGTGCCATTAAATCAAAGGTGGGGCATGATTCAATTCAAAACAAATGGTGTACACAATAGAACACTTATGTTACTCTCTCATGATAGAATCAGCTTATAATCTAAAACAGAAACAGAAACTAAAAGACCCAAATCTCTATAGCACTTGGAGTTGGAAGTACAGTCCCAAAATGGTCTTTAAGTCATAACATGGTCTTTAAGTCTTGATTGTGTGGCCAAACTAGTCTTTAAGTCATAACATGGTCTTTAAGTCTTGATTGTGTGGCCAAACTAATGCCAAAAATACAACTTTTATGCTTAATCATGAAGTCAATGCAAGACATTTTTGCAGCAATAACTATATCAAGGATTGATAATAAGACTTTGATTTCTTCGCATCAAATCATGCAATTCATCTCAATCCTTGACCGATGTCCGTAGTATCTTCACATCATGAATGGGCCTGAATAAGTGGAAAATGAAGAAACGTGTCAATAGTTTTTTCAAGAAGTTCATAAAGCCAGATCAAAGAAACCTCATAGTATGTAAGATTTGTACAAACATGTATAGAGATGGGTGCTGTAAAATCTACACTTACAATTTTGTGAGTAATTATCGTCACTTGCACCAAACTCATATTATGAGTAAAAACCTTATTTAATTTTGTAAGTAATTTTTGTGCCAATTAGGTTTGGATATAATTGTGATCTATTAGCATAGCCAACACCTTCCTTCTCATCCTATATGTTTTAAATTTATAGACCTCATTCATTTGCCAAAAACTTCCCTTGTAATCGAATATTTACAGAAAAAATCATGAAAACAAATTGTGAACCAATTCCTCAGATGAGTATCATATCAGTATCATACACCCAATACCAGCAATTTTATGATCCCCAATATCACATACAAAGTGTCATTATACTGTTCTAGGCAAGATCGTTGGTTCATGTATAGTATATTTAAATGGTTTATATAGAAAGATATTCAACATGCCTGTCATTGTTATCTGTCTGAACACTGCCAAGTCTTTTGATGATTTCCATTCCCCGACTTATTCTTCCAAATATTGTATGTTTTCCTGGTTGAAACAGAAACAGAAATTGGGTACTAATAGATATTCCAAAAATTTCATTATATGAATAGGAATGATGAATCATAAATTAACCAACAAAACTCGATCATCTAACCGCCATGACGCCAAGGTTATAGCTAAAAATCACTTGTGTCTACTCAAGCAGTTTGTTGTAAGTAATAACTGTAAGTTTATGTTTACCTTGAACTCAGATTATATTAGAGAACTCACAAACGGCTCTTAAAAGAGAGTCCCTTGTTTTATGTACTCTTACAAATTTAGTTAAGGAAACTAATGCAAAAAAAAAAAAAAAAAACGAAGTTTGATGATGATAAAATGCACTAAATATATGCATGCGGCTTTATCTACCCAAAAACGAAAAAATATAAGAAATATATCATGAAGCTGTCTAATAGTCATTTTGAAATATTTGTGCATCATAGTATTGGTTCTTTTTGACAAATGAACTACAGAATAGACACAAACTATAAACCGTGAACGCAACTAGAATTAAGTGTGTTGTGGTGTCCAACACCTACATTATGACACTCGTACAGGATGTGTTGGATAACTCAAACAAGTATCACAAAATAAAATAGAAATGTGTTTTCCTTTGCTTCGACACTTCGTGGATAGGTGACCAACACCCTAAGGAGAAGTGTTTGACAACTTATACAATTATCTCAAAAAATTATTTTTTTTCCTTTGTTTTAACACACCTTATACACGTCTGTCTAGAAGGGTTGAAGACGTGTCAAAACAATTTTTAGACCAATGAGGAGTTGAAGACATTAAATTTGATTGCAACATTCTTAGCTTTATTTTATACTAAATGGATAAGTAAATTGTTCAATTTAGATGCACGTAGCCGTGTTGGTGTCCTATATTTTTAAAATTTACATTGTCGACATGTCCATGTCATTTCACATGTTTGTGCTTCATAGGACACAACAGAGATTCTAATCAAACCCAGAGATAATCCTCCACATTTAGACAAGGCCATAAGATATTATATAATTTTGATAATTGTCAGTACCTTACTCCTATTAATAGAGTTTAATTTCCATGCACTATCGGTGTAAAATGTTTTACATTGTTAGCAAATCACGACTAATCGTATATGATCTGACAATCAATACATGCCATTGATTATCTATTAGTTTTGCCATCAGTGACCTTAGAGTACACCTTATCTTATTGCATAATGATTTAAACCATAAACAATACATCGGAATGTTTAACATGATTTGGTGATTAAATGGATCGACATATGATGCAAAAGTCATAATACATAAAGATAAAAGGAGCTGAACAGAATACAAATACGAAACATTATACTTTTCACAACTCCGCAATGAGATAATTTGCGCGCAGTGCTTTGTCCACAAACCAGTATTATTGTGTACTTATCATTTAAATAACCTACATATATGGATATTTGAAGTGCAAAATCCTCACTATGCAAGTGAGTAACACAATGCCGAATAAAAACCATCAACAAAAACCTACAGATATTAATAAATTTCCAAAACAGAGTAGCGAGAAGAGAGAAATAGCATTACCATCCAAAGAGGGGCACGGCGCAAGAGTGATAAAGAACTGACTTCCATTAGTATTAGGTCCAGCATTAGCCATTGACAAAATACCAGCTCCAGTATGCTTCAACTCTTGTTTAATCTCATCTTCAAATTTTGCACTGTCGTACACAACAACAAAAAATGGAAAAATTCAATTGATAACTCATCAAATGACCCAAAATAACCTAATACGACAACTCCATTACAAACATAATCAACATAATAATGATGATGATGATGATGTGATGAGTTCAAGCATACCCATATATGGATTCTCCTCCTCTTCCCGTCCCAGTAGGATCCCCACCTTGCACTATGAAGTCCTTGATGATTCTGTGGAATTTAACATTGTCGTAGTAACCTCTACGAGAGAGTTCAATGAAATTCCTGCAAGTTCTAGGTGCGTGCTTGTAGTAAAGCTAAAAACCAAAAAACAAAAAAAAAAGTTAAAACCCTAATTTTAGCCATGAAATTGAAGAGAAAAACCAAAAAAAAAAAAAACCTCGATGGTGAAGGAACCCATGGAAGTTTCTAGAGTAACCTCTGGAGCACCACCTTCTGCACTCGCCCACATCTTCCTCTAACAACACAACAAATTTTTCTTCTTTCTTTCAGGGTCTGTTTGGTTCAAATGAGGGGGAGGGGAGGGGAGGGATTTTAATGAAGGGGAGGGGAGGGGAGAGGAGGTGAAGGAATTTTTTAATCAAATACGTGTTTGGTTCAAAAGAGAGGAGGGGAGGGGAGGGGAGGGATTTTAATTAAAAATGTGTTTGGTTCAGAAGGGGAGGGGAGGGGTTTTATTAATAATTTACATTTTTATCCTTATGATCTTATATAAGTCATATGATATTAAAATGTGAAAAATTCGTGCGTATTTTTGTTGGTAATAAAATTTATAATATTGAGTGATTAAAAAAATACTTATTTGTCACATAAAGTTAAAAAAATTGAGTACAATCGATTCGACTTATAACTTTCCAACATAAATTAAACTATATGTCAATAACATTGTTTAAATTGTGATGAATCATATAACAAAACAAATATATAAAATAACTTATTACTAAATATTAATGGTTCAAAATATTTAATAAAATGAATAAACAAAAATAAATAAAATGATATGGTTTACAATTTGATATAAAAGAAAATATGATAGAGTACATAACAAAATTAAAAGAAAAAAAAACGAATATAACGAAACATAATTTTTTTAATAAAAAAAGACAATGATTATGATTTATATTAATTACAAAAATTATAAAATAATTTGAAGGTGGAGAACAATTATAATAAGTTGATGAAAACAATCGAGAAAAAACAGTAACACAAAAGATAACAAATAGTTTTGAAATAATAAAATTAAACTGAGGATATTTTAGTAAATATAATAATTTGTTAATATCAAAAGTCATATTCCCTCCCCTCCCCTCCAAATCCCCCCAATTCGGAGGGAACCAAAAAGTGTGTTTTGGAGGGATTTTGCTCCCCTCCCCTCCCCTCCCCTCCCCTCCTAAATTTTGAACCAAACATATTTAATTAAAACTTTCCCCTCCCCTCCCCTCCCCTCCCCTCCATCTACCCCGAACCAAACACACCCTCAATTTTCAAATACTAGAATTTAAAATTACACATAGATATATAAATAGAAAAACAAATGATTACGTTGGGCCGAACCGGACCGGTTCGGACCGGGTTTAGAGATTGCCTCTATTTTCTTTTCCTCTCTTTGTTTCAGATTTGAATGGAATGGAAAAACCGAGCGATGTCGGAGATGTTAGACGGTGCAATTCGGCGAGTTGTTGTCATCGGAAACGGCTTCGCCGGCGCTGAGAATCAGAGCATTGGATTGGTTCGTGCTCTCGGTCTCTCCAATCGTCTCTCTTTATACGTAAGTTTTCGTTTTCATCTTCTTTTTTTCGCATTATAACAATTTGATTCAATCATTGATTATGTGGTTTGGTTTCAGCGTGTGACGAGGCCACAAGGAGGAATCAATAGGTGGTTTAAATGGCTTCCAGTTTCAATCCATAAAAAACTAGACTCCGTAATGCGAAGAATCTGTGGCAATTCACGGTTTCAATCATTGAATTCCAACATTGGTAGGTAACAATTAGTCTCTTTGAACTCTGATTGTTTCTAATGATTACATTGACGTGATGGTGTAGTTTTGTTCACTTTTTCAGTTATATCTAATGTATTAGAAGCTGATGCTCATAGCATTGCGATGATGGCGCGTGAAACGTTTTACAAGTATGTTGTGTTTGTTCTTTTTTGTTTGTGATTAAATGTATAAACACTCAGAAAGAATGATTTTTTTAATGAATTGCATAAACACTGTTTTTTTAATCCCTAGAGATGGTCCTTTGTTGGTGGTTGCGTCTGGACGAGACACCATTTCTGTTGCCACTTCCATTAAACGGTTAGCTTCAGAAAATGTTTTTCTTGTTCAGGTTAAACTTTTCACTTTAATCTTTCTTTTTGTGAATTACCATCAAAGTGCATGCATTCATCATAATTGATTGCTTAAGAAAATGTGATCAGAGATTTTCATTTAAGAAACTATTAAATGCTACTATTGGGGTTGTTTGCATTTAAGAAAATGTGATTAGAGATTCAGAAGCTTTTTATTCATGAATTCATAATGACTCACTTTTAGGGTACTTTGCTTCTTTTTTAGGTTTAATTTAACATGAAATTGTCTATTTTTCTGGTGCATGTTTTTTAATTGTCCATATGTGCATGGATTATGTATAATAAATGACTGGCATAGTGGCATACGTTATGTATGTTGCTGTCTAACTCTTTTACATGCTCAATTCAGATACAACATCCAAGATTTCTCCTGAATAGGTTTGATCTTGTGATTACTCCTCGCCATGATTATTACCCCCTCACTCCTCATGCCCAACAGCAAATACCTTGGTTTCTTCGGAGGTGGGTCACTCCATGGGAACCTCCTGGCCGCAATGTGGTAGGTAGTAGAGTTGTGTGGGTGGCTATTGGTTTAACACAGTTGTGGTTGTCATATGTTAAACTGAGGTGTTCTACTTTTTGTCCTCCCTTGAAGGTCGCTGATTTTACATGATTGCAGGTTCTTACTGTGGGGGCACTTCATCAAGCTGATTCGGCTGCTCTTAGGGTTGCTGCATCTGCTTGGCATAATGAGTTAGCTAATTTGCCAAAGCCCTTGCTCGTGGTTAACATCGGGGGACCTACAGGTATTTTATTTTCCTTTAAGTGATTTGTAGTGCTTTTCCTATTGTACTTTGTGAAATTTTATAACATTCATTAAGATTTGTGTAGTTTGATATATGTTAAAAGTTGGTATTAGCGTAAGCATCATGCTCATGCACCTGATGGTTGCACAACCTTTGTCTTAAAAGGATGAAAATGCGCATTATGTTAGACCTATAAGTTTCCTTGTGTTGGTTTTTTTAATTAAGTTTTCTGTCAATGTCTGTAGGAATGTCTGGTCGGTCATATATTTCATTTGTTTGTGATAAGAATTTCTCTTTTCTTCTATCTAGTTTGATGACCCCTTTCAAATTGGAGACTTCTTTAAATGACTCTATAGCTTATGCTTTAACTACAGGAAAGGAATTGCATGCCCTATGTATTGTGTATTGCAGGGCATAGTTGAGAACTTATCAAAGCTAAGTAGGTCAATCTTGCATATGTAAAGCCCTTTTGTATGAAACCTTAAATAAGCTGACTTGAACATTAAAATTTTCAAATATTTATATGCCCTATATTTTTATGCATTAACATTGGTGAACTATAACCATACATTAGTGACGCCTTGTATTATACCTTCCGTCTTGATGTTAAATCTTTTTTCCCGGTTAGGCAATTGTCCCTATGGCGTGGATCTTGCAAAGAATTTAGTGGTTATGCTTCAGAATGTTCTATGGAGCTGTGGGACAATCAGAATATCTTTCTCTAGAAGAACTCCTGAGAAGGTATATTTTGCAATTTGTAAGATTCTTTTTGCCTTTTCAGTCCATAGGTTGGATGCAGTTATCTTATTATCTGTGTTGGCTTATACCATGAGCATGCTCATGGTTGGTGATTTGTCTGTAAAACACTGAAATCTGATACGGTCTTGAGCGTGTATAAATGATGTTATCTAGTGGGATGGGGGGATCAATTCAATTTGCTCTGATAATGATTCAAAATTCCATTCGTTGTAGATCTCCAAAATTTTGCTCAAAGAATTTTCCACAAATCCTAAGGTTCAAATATGGGATGGTGAAGGTACTTAGTGGATCATATTCTTAAATCATAAGAGAGGAAATGCAGACTTGCCTGTTCTGGTACTGGAGATTACTTACTCTTAATTCTTTTTCTTACATTCAGGTCCAAATCCACATATGGGACATCTGGCCTGGGCCGATGCCTTTGTTATCACAGCTGATTCAGTTAGTATGTTGAGTGAGGCCTGCAGTACTGGGTATGTATGATCAATGATGGGCAGCATGCATCTCATGGAAAAATAAAAGTCAAAATGAAAAAAAGAAGTTCCTGTTATTAAAACACTAATTAAAATGGAATTATGAGTACCGTGACTTCATATATTTTACTACAGGAAGCCTGTATATGTAATCGGAGCAGAACTGTGTACATGGAAGTTTGCTGATTTCCAAAACTCTTTGCAGAAGCAAGGAGTTGCTCGGCCGTTCACTGGGATGGAAAATGTGAGTTGCAAACTGTCCTAGATTGTTCTGTGTTTTCTGTGTCTTCAAATTGAAATCAGTCTTTTAATTCAGAACGCTCTAACCACAGAATGAACAAACCATGACGCTTTTGCTTATTTTATTGTTCAAGGCATATGCACCAATGAATGTTGCCTTTTTCTAATTTGTGTTTTGAAAATACAGATAACTGAAAGCTGGTGTTACCCTCCACTGAATGACACAGCAGAAGCTGCTACTCAAGTGATTGCTGCCCTTGCTCAGCGGGGATGGACAATTCGTGCACAATGATTCCCAAACCCTCCCAAGATTTCTTTGGAACTTTTGGAATTCATTGAGTACATCTTATTAAATAAGAAACACGGCCTTGTCCAATTTCCACTGGCTACTTCTTAGCTTCAAAGTGCTTGCCAACCAGCCACTTCCCTTGCAAAAGTCGTTAAAGATGGTTCTGATTTAAGTGGATTGGGCAACAGGCAGTCTCTTCAATTTTTTCTTATAGAAGAGTTTTGTTGTTGTAAACCTCCACTCAATAGTTATTTATTGTTGGGAGCTTTAGAATTTAGGTATTCTGCACCACACATTCAAATTCTTTTTTTTTTTAAATCAGCCTAGGAAATGTATCATAATTTAAAACGAATTGTACTAAATAAGATATATTTTTGCAATAGTTTTGATTTCTATATTTATTGTTTCTTACTCCCATCTCTATTAAATACACTGTATATGATCATGCTCCTGCGGTCTGTCATTTCTTTTTAACATCCTTTATTTTCTAATAAGGCGTGTCAGCGTCTAAGAAGGAAATATATTTCGTAAGCATTCTTGGAATGCTCATGGTTAGGTGTTCCCATGTCTAACAACAAGAGATCTTATGTTCAGATTCCAAAAGTACACATTCACTTAATTGTTTACATATCTGATATTAAAATGTCTTCTATAGTGTTGTGTGGTTCTAATGTTTTTCAGGCTTGAGTTAGGGTCTTGTTGACCCCAAAAAATGCAATATTGTTGACAGGAATCTTTCGCAGGTGCTTGAATACCCACTATTGCATCCTCAGACATAATGGCCTCCTCCAAATTAACATCCTGACATGAATATTTTTGGTCAATGCCCTCAGTGGTCTCATCCAAATTAACATTCTCAAATGAATCTTGGCCAACTTCAGCTGTATCTTCTACACCAGTGGTAAGCGATGAATCTCTTTGGACAAAAACAAATCTTGTTGGCCTGCGCGCGCGCACACACACACACACCCTCTTTTAATAAAAAGGCAACCTGGTAGACTCAAGAAAAAAAAAAGGAATGAGGCTCGATAACAAGTGAGAAATGAGTCACAGCTCAAACGAGCAAAATTTGGTATCAAATACAATTGATGCCATAAGGATGGTCACAACAAAATCACATGCAAGCTGCCTGCAACTTCAAGTCAGCCTACCCCAACTATTGTTACTACTCAACCTAGCCCAACTACTGCTACTACTCAGCCTACCCCCAACTGTTGTTGTTACTCAGCCTGCTCCAACTGCTGCTTCAAGCCAGCCAACTCCAATTGATGTTTCAAGTTAGCCATCACTATTTGCTGCTTCAAGTCAGCCATCACTGTCTGCTGCTTCAAGTCAGCCAACACCAACTGAATTTTCATCTCAATCAACACCAACTGGAAGTTCAACTCAGCAACCATCCAAAAAGAAAAGAAGACTTCAAAAAGACCTAAAACCTGTTCTTAACCAATCCTAATAGTTATGCTTTGTTCTGTTATGTAACATATGACTTACAATGCCTATTTTGTTGTTTATGACTTATGGCTTATAATGCCACTTTTGTTGGTTGTGTTATGTAACATATGACTTACAATGTCTATTTTGTAGTTTATGGCTTATGGCTTATAATGTCACTTTTGTTATTACTTATAATGTAACCTTTTGTTATGACTAATAATGTAACCTTTTGTTATGACTTATGGTTATGTTACATTTCACTCATAAACTCATTACACAAAATTACATTTGTTCTGATATGTTTATTGGACACAACAGTAACATTTCACTAATAACATCATGACAAATTCATTTCATTCATAAACTCATTACACAGAGGTGCATTTGTAACAAACACAACATTCAACACTAAGTTCAATATTCATAGACTGATAAAATCTTAACCTAAAAATACATTGTTACAAATACAACATTCAATAAGCTCAATATTCCAACCACAGTGAACACTTTCAACCATCCTTTAATCTGAATGATCTAATTCTTCAATTTGTACAGTTTCTTCTTTTGCCTTTGAATCTTCATATATGTTTTATCAACAATGTTGTCATCTAACCATTTGAAAAAATTACATCTCCTATGCATATGATTTATGTAATTTCTACAACCCCAAAATCCTAGTCTTTAAATTAGATTTAATTGAATGATTATAAGTAAAAATGTTAACTTAATCATTGGATTTAATTCAATTTAGAGGTTATGATGTGGAGTAAGTTAAAAAAACTTACCTTTGGAGCAAGTTGATCCCCAATATATATATATATATATATATATATATATATATATATATATATATGTATATATATATATATATATATGTGTGTGTGTGTGTGTGTGTGTGTGTGTGCGCGCGCGCTCGCACATGCGTGCGTGCGTGCGTGTGTACACACACACACACACACACACACACACACACACACACACACACACACACACACACACACACACACACACACACATATATATATATATATATATATATATACGCAAAGGTTATGATGTGGAGTAAGTTAAAAAAACTTACTTTTGGATTAAGTTGATCCCCACGAGAGCCAAATGGGAATTGTCGTCCTTAAATAGTTATGCCTCTATGTCTGCTCTATCAATTTCCACAACACGTCGACAAATCGTCATCACGCTCTCGGTGTGGTCATCCTATATCTTAAGTGCCTCATGGTTAGCTGACCTAGGTGGTCTTCCAAGAGTGTCTGGTGTCATGATAGAGTTTAACACCCTATAGATCCAGGTCATGTAGTTGTATGCATAAGCCCACTATACAAGAGCTAGTACCCTGCGATACTCCTTTGATACCATGTAACGAAATCGTCAAGTATCTCATCGAGGTCTCTACGGTGGACGGTGGAAAGAGCGGACTCTAAGGGGTGTCTTAGAATAATATATAGATAGCCAAACTGTCGCATCAGTCACTTGGGAAGATAAGGAAACATCAAACCTGACCCACATTCCAGTCATCTAAAGTATAAGGGAATGACATCAAATGGACGCATCTTGCGGTGACCTCTGTATGGACAGAAGAAAATGTCATATGTCACAAGACGGTCAAGATGCACTTTGAATGGCTCGACCGCATTATTCCCCATGTAGGGAATAAATGCGGTAGCACGCGACCAATCCTCGGGGTAGGCAGACGTAACTTTAAACTCGGTGATACGAGGGAAGTGGGAGATGATCCATCCATGAAAATAGTTCAGATAAAATATTAATAAGTGTAACAAATGAGTTATGAAAATATTAGTACCGGTAAATTTTCGTAAGCACCGTCCTATATATGGTCTTTATAAATCTTTTTCAAAAATATATACCTAGCATCTGCACCTCTTGTGACATGTGCCTCATGTGAGGCCTCTACTGGGTCAACCCCAAAATGGGTGATCATCATGTCGATGTCTTCCTCTATACCGATCCTCTTGTGGCCCAGTAATTTTCCCCTTATGGGAATATGCAGGAGGCATGAGACGTTACTCAAGGTGATGGTCATCTCGCCTATAGGAAAGTGAAAAGACAAATTCTCTGAATGCCACCTCTTAGCAAAAGTCGCACGCATACCTAACGCATAGTGGAGAACATCCTTAAACCAATTAGTAGTGGGTTGCCCCAACTCCAATATATTTTGCGTATGGTTTATCAACTTAAACATGTAAGCTCTTGTAAAAATAAAATATTATCATCATTATCGATTTAATTAGTCGAAACATTTGTATTGTAAAATAAATATACATCTCTTTCCCAGATATATGCCTAGCAGCATAATCTGCATATAGATGAAGTAAGGAGGTGTCAAATGAGACTCTTGTATAACTCTCTAATGGGCTAGTGGCTTCCTCCTGGCCTTTAGGGTCTTTAGGTACTTTAGGGTTTGCTGCATCATTTGGGAAATCGTGGCCCTGTGAAGAAGATGACTGGGAGAGACGGCTACGAGAAGCTGAACCTATGTGTTGCAAACTTGATGGTTGCAAACCATCAAATGAGTTATCATTAACTTGTGGCCTCGCGGTCCTAGTTGTGGCTCTCTCACATCATACTGACATGTTTTGGGGCATACATCCCAGCATAACTCTTTCAGTGTTGTTATCATCCATTGCACCTACGTTACAAACCGACACAAAGATAAATAGCATGTCAATACAATTCCACAAAATCTCTTAAAATAACACTGAGATAAATCGAATAAAATCTTGTTTGGTTGTTGAGATAAACCAAATAAAATTGAAAATTCGGGCAAACACACGATGGATGTTATTCCCAAAGTTATAACATCCACTGTGACATCTGCTACTTAACAGCTAATACTCAGTAATAATAAAAGCAGTAAATAACACAACAATTGTTTACCCAGTTTAGTGTCAAAACCACTTATATCTGGGGGCTACCAAGCCAGGGAGGAACTTCACTATTAGCAGAATTAATTTAGAGTCAAACACCACAGTTTACACTCCTCACTTAAAACCTACTAAATGACAATTCAACCTAGAGACACTCTAGACCTGAGTATACTCACTCACTCCCCCTCAATCACACAACAGTGATATCAAACAATTACAGAAGACAATATGAAGAGACACTTCATACAAACCTTGATCTTGCTTCACAGCTTTGATCAAGGAACTCACACACTCTTGCTTCACGGCTTTGAGTGAGACACAACCTAGAATCTACCTGTAACACCCCACTTCCCAAATTAAATAAAATATAAACATTATAAACAAACATAAGAGTTTTCACAAAAACAGTGGGATATCACATCACCAATAGTTATCAAAAATACTTTATTCATTATTTTCAAAATAATACAGCGGAAATTATTATTCCAACATTCTCGGCCATCCGCCTGATTTACATAAAATCTTTATTATTATAATTCACCAAAATGTGATACGTCACAGGATTTTCAACAAGTTTAACATAAACAAATAAAACACTCATATCCCGTGTTACGTATCAGAGCATCCTAAGACTCGACTTGCACACCGCTATCCAAGCTATCTATGTAC